CTTTACCCGATAGCACCTGGACCTTTGAGAGCCAGCAGGTGAGCAGAAAGAAAGGGCACTGAGAAAATGTTCTATATATCATTTATATATGTAGAAGTTCGACAAGTAATTCAATTTAACGTGTTTTTTTTTTACTTTGTGGGCAACACAGTAACAGAGGTGTACAGAAGTGGTGTACAGACTGTTGTACATTGTCTCTCAAGTTTATACTGTGTTTGTCAATGCATTTAGCATTTCTGAAACTGGAAATTCTTTTGACATACTGTATTGACAAATACATGAAAATTAAAATTTGACCATCAGTATAACAATGCTTTAATTCACTTTGAGATTTGTTTAGTTCATTTGGAATTATATCAGAAATGCTACAATACATGTGTTAGAAGTTTAATTGAAATAAGTACATGTTTTTCATATCCAAACTTTTTGATCTTGAGATTATTTTTTATTTCTGGGGTAACTTTGAGAGAAAGGCAGTTTGGAAACAACGCCTTCAGGCGGATAGAAAGTGCATCGACTGAGAGACTTTTGTTTGACTTGCAACACGCCTTCACGGCAATTCACTGGAAGCACCAGTACATATGTTTGTTTTCTTCGTTTGCAGTTTTCTAAAGTCAACTTCCTCCCGACGCGTATCCGTTATGTAGAGTTGGTTTTGCTCAGTCTTGTCCTCTTGTTTTCAACCATTCAGCAGCAACTTTCTTCTCAAACTCGTAACACTCTGCTGGCTGGCTGAAACTCCTCTGTCAACGGAGCAACTGCTCTGAAAAGTTTTGTGTGTGTGTGCGCGTATGAAGTGTGACAGCACTGGGTCCACGCCTGCCCTCCAATGAGGGGGAGGCTTCTGTGCCCTCTCCCCGCCCATGAAGGGAGTGAGGCGGAGGACACGCAGCATAGAGTTTAGTGGAGCCAGAAAATACTTTGATTTTCCCCTTTCGTTTTTTCTTTCTTTCAACTTTGCCGTAATGATCTCGTCTAAACTTCCTATCGAGTTGCTCTTGGAGTGGAAATGTTTACATCGAGCCGTGTAGCCTAGTTGTGGCACAACTGTGGATATGTTACGGTGAAAGAAGAAGGCAGACACTTTCCCGTCGCCCGATCCTCGGAGCGCAGCACAATGGACTCCAGGCAGAGGACGCGCTCGGGAGGAGGGAGGCTGTGGAGGAGTTATTTCTTTCTGGCCTTCGTCTCCTCTGCGTCTGCTCAGCTCAGCTATTCCGTATCGGAAGAACTAAGTCCGGGCTCTGTCGTTGGGAACATCGCAAAAGATTTGGGTCTGAGCGCTCAGTGGATTGTGCAAAGGAAGTTAAGGGTGGTCTCGGACTCATCAGTGCAGTATTTTGAGGTAAAGCAGGCGAGTGGCGATTTGGTTATTAAACAAAAAATTGATAGAGAACAATTATGTGAACTGAGTCCAACGTGTTCATTGCACGTTCAAATACTTCTGGAGGATCCATTAGAGATTCATCGCATCGTGGTGGATGTTCTGGATGTGAATGACAACGCGCCGCAGTTCTCAACCAGAAACATTTCTCTGGAGGTGTCAGAGGCGGCTGCCCCGGGGACACGGTTCCGTTTGGAAAGCGCACACGATCCAGACGTGGGTACGAACTCATTACGCACATACCATGTGGCAGCCAATGACTTCTTTATTTTGAATGTACAAACTAAAAGTGACGGGAGCAAGTTTCCAGAGTTAGTAGTGGACAAACCTTTGGACAGAGAGACCCAGGCCTCGTTCCGGCTGCTGCTCACTGCGGTGGACGGGGGACAGCCGGAGAAATCGGGTTCGACTCTTCTGCTCATTAAGATTTTGGACGTAAATGACAATTCACCGGTGTTTGATGAGACAGTAAAGAAAGTGACACTGTTAGAAAATGTGGCACGAGGCACTTTAGTAACCAAATTAAACGCCACGGATGCTGATGCGGGTAGCAACGGTGAAATATCATTCATGTTTAGTAAATACACGCCGGAACGTGTCCTCCAGCTGTTCAGCGTGGATTCTAAGAGCGGTGAGATCCGCGTGAAGGGTGAGGTGGATTACGAGAAGGCCACCGCCTATCACATCACAGTGCAGGCCAGAGATGGCGGCTCTCCTGCCATGGAAGGTTCCTGTAACGTCATAGTGGACATTGTTGACGTGAATGACAATGCACCAGAGGTAACACTGACGTCACTGACCAGCCCAATCAGAGAAGACTCAGCACCAGGCACGACAATAGCGCTCATAAGTGCTCGGGACCTCGACTCTGGTGTGAATGGAGAGGTCACATTAACTGTCCCACCAGGCTTACCATTCAAACTTAATTCAGCTTTTGGCATGCATTACAGCCTGACCACAGAGGGTAAACTAGACCGAGAGACTGTGCCAGAGTACACGGTGGTCATCAGAGCCACTGATGCCGGCTCCCCTCCCCACTCATCCCAAACCACCTTTGTGGTGAAGCTGTCAGATGTAAATGACAATGCCCCCACATTCTCCCAACCTTCATACTCAGTTGACATCCCTGAGAACAACGCGCCCAGCTCCCCGATTGCTGCTGTTTCTGCCACCGACCCGGACCTCGGTGAAAACGCCCGCGTCTCCTACTCCATCCTTCCGGGCATGGTTCAGGGATCGCCCATATCATCCTACGTGTACATTAGCCCAGAGAGTGGCCACATCTACAGCATGCGCTCTCTGGATCATGAGCAGCTCAATGCTTTCCGCGTGGAGGTTCAGGCCCGAGACGCTGGGGAGCCCCCACGGACAGCCAATGTCACCGTGCATGTGTTTGTAGTGGATGTCAATGACAACGCACCAGTCATTGTTCACCCCTCCGTCCCTAAAGACAAAAGGCTGCAGCTCACTGTGCCCCCCTCTGCTGGCCCAGGGTATCTCATAAATAAACTGGTTGGGGTAGATGCAGACAGTGGGCACAATGCTTGGTTGTTTTATTCAATTGTCCCCGGACCAAATGCTGGCATGTTTCGCATTGGGGCCCACTCTGGAGAACTTCGCACAGCTCGGAAGTGGGCTGAGGAGGATGTTGACTCAGCCTATGACATAATGGTCATCATCCAGGATAATGGTGAACCGCCAAAGTCCTGCTCTGTGAACATTACAGTAACAGTGGATGAGAAGGGCACAGCCGTGGAAGTTCCCGCTAACCCCCGCCACAACCACTTCTACCACCGCACAGGGATGCCGGATATTACTCTGTACCTCATCATCTCTCTTGCCTGCGTCTCGGCTGTGTCCTTCATCACTTTTGTTGTTCTAATGGTGCGCTGTTTAAGGCACCGTAGCCCGGGACTGGGGGGCTCTGAATGCTGCTGCTTCGAGCGCCACAGACCCGGCCGCTACCATCAGAGACCCAGCAAAGATCTGCACCTGCAGCTCAACACTGATGGACCCATACGATACATGGAGGTTGTGGGGGGTCCTCAGGATCCGCACACACGCACCTATCGGCCGTGCTACTCCACTATATCGAGCCGAAGTGACTTTGTATTTATGAAGACACCCATGCTGAGTCACAACAACACGCTCAACATGACGCTCAGCAGGAAGCACCTTATGAACTCAGCCAGTGAGGTGAGGGTTACCAGAGACAGGAAGGGCTGTACAGATGGGAAAAGACCAGTGTTGTGGTCTGCTTTGAATACATTTTCAATGCTTTGGGAAATCCTTAAATATATTGAAATATTTTTTTATTATATAATACTATGGCCACAAGGAAATATGTTTTGTTTAGCTGTTTTTGTTCTGACTCACGAAATTGAAAAAGTGTTTATCTGAAGCTCCACTTGCTTAAAGGAACAATAATGTTGTCTTCTTCTTGGAGCTTTGTTGATCTACTAGACAGGTTTGACCAGAGTTTCATTTTCATTCTTAGCCAGGCCAGGAAATGTGGTTACTCTTAGCAACAAGAGAGAGCGTGTTTACTTAATGGGCAAGAAAGTTGATAACACAGACTTGTTAAGAGTAAAATAGATGGTTGACTTGTGAAAGAAAAGGGAAAGGGGAAACATTAGTGCTGCCTGCAACAGATGGTGGAGGAGGAGACATCCAGATGAAAATAGGTCCTGCAAAGTTGCCTCAGTGGAATGGCGTGGAGAGGAAAAGGATGACAGAAGGAGGGATGGGGGGGGGGCAAAGGAGAGGAAAATGGTTAGAGGGAGACGGCCAAAGAATAAAGCAGTAGCCGAAAAACAGGAATTCATGGGGTCGTCAGCCTGACCCCTGACTTCCTGTTGTCCTCTGAACTCTGTTGATTGGTTCCAGGGCTCACATGTGAGACTGTTCTTGTTCTGTTCATCCATTTGGAATTGTCATCGATACATCCCTTTTTTCTTTATTTTTCTAATTTTAGCCGTAAGATTTCAATGAAAGATAACTATCTACTTTTAGAAAGTGCCTGACATGGCTTTCAGAAAGGTGATCCACATTTTTGATGAAAAAGAGGCTTTGTCATCTTTCCTTTTTCTTATCAGGATTTAACTTGCCACTTTAGTGAATAGTTGTTGTTTAGAGGTTGTTTCCTTAATAAGATTTACCTTTTCCCTTCATTGAACATATATACATTCTTCTTTTTTCATGCACTGAGTCGTGTTGTCCCTCAGGGCAGCATGGGGCCATCTGTCTGTATTGTGGTGCAATGAGGGCAGCAGTGGGAACAAAGTGGAGGGATAGATAACTGGAATGAAGAACCTTTTATGTGTGTGCCACAGTGACAGTCAGCACAGGCCATAATGGCCTTAGAAAAGCATCCCTGATTTTGGGTGTTTGGGTGCAAGGAGTCCTCCAGTAGTGTGTCAGTAGCTACTAAGACCCATGAATCCTGATATATTTAAAAAATCAGTGCTCATGGCTCTCAGTAGTTGTATCATTTGTTCATCTGCAGTGCACTGCTTTGGCACACACTTCCTAACCAGATTAAAAAACTTTAAGTAGTGTGTGTCAAAGCTCCGCCTGAGCATATTATTAGGATGAGCTGGACTCTTAACCATTCTTGGGATTACGAGTGAAATGGACAGTCAGGAGAATAAGTGTCGTGATATATATTTGAATTATCATTGCCAAGAAAAACGTTTCAGTGTGTAACAGTCAAATCTAGCATTCTGAATCTGTCTGCTATAATGATCACAGCAAGCAAACACATTATTTTAAACCCTTGCTTCCCAGCTCTGGTTATTTTACACCGACACAAGTGTTGCACAGCAGACCTTTACAACTCTTAAGTTTGGAACTGAGATATTTTTTTTATGTCAGTAAAAAGAAAGGATAAGATACTTTTTTTTATACCTGGATTCTTCTTATTTGCCATGCTCCATCTCACCTAATATCCTGGATGGAATCTGCATGTGTCCATGTACTGATCAGTGCAGACCCCCCCCCCGATAATGGATAGATGTAAAGGAAAAAGACAGATGGCTTTTAAAGCTTCTAGGTTTGTGTGGCTGTTCTCTGTTGGTTAAGAATCCAGGCTAACAGAGCTGTAATCCCATCACCCACTTCTGCATTGGCAGCTTGTGTCTGACTGGTCTCTCTGACCTCAGGTCTTATTCTTGGTTATAACATATGCTTTTAAAACATAACATCTTGTGTAATTTGAAATAAGATGCCGTCTGGATGTGAAGCCAACTTCATTTATGTTTTTCAAACCTTTTAATCCTCTAAACCTGTTCTAACTGCTACTGGAACTATTATGAGAACTGAACTGAGGGTAAAGATGTTTCTCAGACATACAGTTTAACTTCTTATGTTCCAATGAGGATGGCATTCATGTGCTGATTAAATGTCTAGTTGCACCAACATGTACAGGTAATAGCAAAATAGCATGCTGTTTCATTTGGTATGGTAGAGAACTAAACTTTGCAGTAGGGTGAATAATCCCAGCAGATTACGTCCTACTTTCTCTAACATGGCCACAGTGAGAACTGACCTCAGTACCAACGAGCATGTGTCTGAATGTGTGGTGAGAAGCAGTTGCTCAGCTGGAATGCTGGGCTCTTTCTGTGTGGATGTTTGCTTTCATTCTTGGCCACTTTCCCCGAAACCCCCCCCCCCCTCCCCAACAACATGTCTAATTTATAGACTCTAAGCATCAATCAAGCTCTACTTTACCGGGGGGGAGCCATTGATGGGTGTTTCAGGTTGTGTTGATTAACCCCTTTCTGATTCTGGTATTGTATTTTGTGATGAGGACACATCAGTCCCGACTTGATCTTTCTGCTATTTAGTTTTTTATTTTATTTCATAGTATTGTAAGACAGGCTTCAATAATAATAACCAACAGTGTGTCTGTTGTTTAGATACAGGAATTTTTAGTGGATTCTGTATTCTCTCCTCCTCTCGTGTTTCTTTCCATCATTCCCTGGAGCAGGACAGCGCTTTTAATAATGCAACACATCTTGCTGCTGGCCTCTCTCTCTAGGGAGCTCTTGTGTCGATTAGGCAGCAGAATCTGGAGCCAAGCCAGGGTTCTATTCACCGCACCAGTGCACAACAAGAGAATCCGAGAGAAAGAGATGGAGAAGACATGATGACATGGCCAGTGAGGTGGAGGTGGACAGAAGTAGAGTTAGCTTGAAAACATTAATAGTGAGCAAAAGTAACTCAAAGATAAACTGCACAGCATAGTTTTGGTTTCTGACTTAAAAAAACAGCTTTTTTTTTAGGAATCTCTGTGTCTAAAATGTGTCAGTTTGCCCTCAAACAGCGACAGTTTTGTCTGAAAAATTCCCTTCTAATCTTCATTTTAAGACTTCTCTTTATTTGCAAAGTCATCGACTTTGATAAACATTTGGACATCTTGTTCATCCCTGGCTTCCTTGTTGCATTTTTCTGTTATTCAGAGTACACTTCACTGTTCATCTAGTTGTTTTCATACTGTCTGCACTGTTGTATGCATGTGTGTGAGTGTGTTGCATTTTATGCCCCGCGGCTGTGGGAGCATATGTCTGAATGTACAGCTCTAAGTGCCCCTCTTTGTTAAGCCTGACTGAAGCTTGGGAAAGAAACTCTCAATCACAAAATTCCAAAAACAGCACAAACCAGTGTCTTACGAAACATTTCGCCGTCGCTGCAGTGAGACATCCTCTTCATGTTGCATCTTCTGTTCTCTTCACAGCAAAAGCCTCCAAACAATGACTGGCGTTTTACCCAGGGACAGAGACCCGGACCAAGCGGGTGAGTCGACACGAGCACACTTGCACACACCGACAGAATCCACTGCGTTTTTTCATTTCTATAAAGATAAAAGAGTGAGAAGGGATGATGTCGGGAAAAAAAAAACAAGAAGGGACCAATAATGAGTGCTGTAACCGTTTACAACAAGCTGTCTGCAAGATGCTGATAGTAAAGTAGTGATGGGATCAGAGTCCTCTTCTGGCTTTGATTTAAAGCCTGCTGTTGATCACGGTCACATTTCATTGAATGATGTTGCTCAGTGCATTCAGATTCCTGATGCAGCCTCCTGAACAAGCATCTCTGCCTGTTTCCAGGCTGCTTTATAAAATGGCTGCCGCAGCTTCCACTCCCCTCCCCCATCTATGCTTTTCCTTCTCTCTCTGTGCTCCTCACGCCTGTGCACCATCACTCAGTACTGCTGATGAGGGACAGTGACCAGGACTGGAGGGGGATGGGATCGTGTCTTTATCCATCTTTTATTCTATTTCTGTTCCTCCTTTAGATATTAGAATGTTGACATCCCTGTTAAGAGGCAAGAGATGAAATGTGTTTTTCAAATTCTTTTGTGTGGTCTGTCGAGGATGTGTATTGCTATTTGCCCATGTTGTCTGGGCAACAATGGACTGTGTGCAGTGGGATCTTTCCAGACAGTGATTGCAGATCACACTCTGTGTGTCAAAGCTTCTCCCTGAATTATACCAGCTGTGGTATAAAGCCCTGCTCTACACAAGCCAAAGTAGTTTCAGATGACTGCCAGTCACAGATGCATTTTTAATGCCTCTGATGTAGATATGATGAAGAGACTTACCAATCAGTTCAATTGTCTTAAAATGTATGTGTCAGACTCACCACGTTTCCCTCTGAGATATCTCAGAGCTGTCCTTCTGTTTGAAGTAATCCCAACCCTCAGGCATATCCCCAGTGGTTCTTTCAGACTGTATAACCTGTTGTTCTTTTAGTCCCCACATGCCATACGGTACACACATACGATGGACTCCGAAGAATGGGACAAGGTACTAATTTAGACCTTAGGCACTCTATGGTCACTTCCTGCCCTTTGCATTAAACTTGTAAATTCATCCCTCTCAGCGAAGGGCAGAGAGTGACTGAAAGTCTGTAGCTGGTGCACTGCAGCTGAGTGCTGTGCTGTGTGTAGATGTATCTAACCCATAGCTTCTGTTAGTCTCCCTAAAAGTATGATGGGGTTTGTTGTTGGTCGATGTGCTTAGGCCACAATGCCTGCTGTGGCGTAGAAAGGACTGTGATGCGTTTGTGTGCAGTGTTTTTGTAGACTCGCTCTGCCTTATATGTGTGCTATACATACAGATATTCTAGTCTGACAGCTCCTCTCTCCTCTCCTGAGAGAATTGCTCACCATAAAGTGTTGCCTTTGATGGTTGTTGCTCAAAACCACCACATACCGCTTTTTCATTTGATTTATGAACTGAAGCAGAAGTAAAAAAATGTTTTCCTTGCATTTCCTAAAATAAATATCTGAAACTGAAGTGAAACTGCTGAGATATAAGTTATAACTGCAGAAATACGTATGGAGACTGGACAAATGACAGCATGTACACCATGTGACATGAGGAATGGTCTCAAATTAAGTTAAACTTAATATAATGAGGATTATGCGAAAATGTCAACAAGAGGAGCCTGTCTTGGAGATAAAAACGCTGTGTGTGGCTGCAGAGAGAAAAGACACAACAACCCCATTTGGTCAACCAAAAACATACCTCTGGTCCACAGTGTGCAATTTGGCCCGCAGGAAGTGATAATCCTGACCACAGGAAACACTCTGCAAAGCCACAGGATGCGATAAGCACAAAGAGACGCTAATTTAGCCTAAATGAAGCATTGCTTTTTATCTTTAGTTGCGTAAGGAGACACAAAATGGCTGCCTGGGTTTTCTTTTCCTCGGCCTGTTTCTTATTGGCCGCCTGGCACAGGACCTATATGTTTGCCTCGATCAGTCTCTCTCTGGCAGTGAATTGAGAACCACTTCAGCGTTTTGGCAGTACAATCTGGCAACCTGCTCTTCAGCAGGGCCCAGTTTTGTGTTGGAATCTGAGTTTTTGCTTTGTCTCACTCACTGTGTCCTTTACTTTCTTTTAAGTCCCTGGAGCAGACCAATTTGTCTGTGGGTCTTTTAGTTGGATTAGACTACAGAAAAAGAGAGTTCCTGTTTACACTCCATGTGTTCAACACACTGTCAACTTTACAAAGGTTTTAGGCACTGAATATGATTAGAAGATTCTTAAAGTAGTAAGGCCACTAGTATTAATTACTTAACTATAAAAGGCTGTTCTTGTCAGTACTTGCATGAGAGAGACAACTCATTGTGATTTAAACTGACTTGAGATCTTTTTGTTCCTTCAAGTATGCACACTAGTCTATGTTCAGGACTCTTTTTGGGCTGCCCATCAAATACAGAGTTTATTTTTCCAGCCTATTAGGATACTTCTTTGTAATACTGGCTGTACAATAAGGGTTACAATGTTGCATCAGAGTGGCTGAAAGACCATATATCTTTTTATTTTCCTTATTTGTGATAAAACCCTTTGTGTGCCTTCACCCACGTAGATGATCTTTTAGCCAACTCATTTAGATAGCCGCCATGCTGCACAGACTGACAGTTCAGAAGGCTAACCGAATGTTATTTTTGCTCTATGTGGCTTAAAAAGTGCCGAGCATTTGATATTAGCAGCTTTACTTAATTTCACACCAATTTTAGTACAGCCCAATTACATTCTGTAGTTTATCTGTTAATTTACCGTCATAACTAAGTGCAGGCAACATATTGCGGTTTTGAGACTTCCACAATAAAAAAAAGGGATTTTATTGCACTTTTAGGTCAGCAAGAGAGGCAGGATTAAAGCATTGTGACCTATTTGTGAGTCGCAGGGCTTAAGTTGGTCTGCTGCATGTGTAGGAAGCAAGTTGGAGGGAATTCTGCCGCACGTCTGCTTTCTCTTTTGTTAGCCCCACATGCAAATTGCAGACTGTAAATACAAAAGGCTTTGAAGGGGAAGTTTGCCCAGATGGAAATGATCCGCGCTCGCTGAGCGCTGCGTGTGTGACTGTGCAGACAGCTATTTCCTCTAAAGGTGGAATCATTAAATATTTCATCTAAATTACCAGACAGCTCAGCGCTCACGGCCATGCAAGTGAATGTGTATGTTTGAACAATGAATATGCCGATACACTTGCAGCTCTGTACAGATGTGTGTGTTCTTGCCTTAATGCCAGTGTGCGTATGTTTGAGACGCACCCTGCTTTTGTAAACTATACAATCTCCTTGTTATTTTTGCTGACTGCCTGCTTTTACATCATAAAACACCAACTATTGTAAGAGTGAGCTAAATACACACAAACAGATTAGAGGATGTTCTTCCATTTTCTCACGGTTGTTTTCCATTGTTTTCATAGAGCGACTGGAGGGCCAGAGGTTGCCATGGGAACCGGTCCCTGGCCTCAGCCTCCTACTGAAGCTGAGCAGCTCCAGGCCCTGATGGCCGCAGCTAACGGTGAGTCCTACACCGCTTCATCTTTTCTTTTCCTCACCAGCTCGTTATATCTTTTCTAACTCATTTATTACCCCTTCATCGGCTCAGGGGTGGGTGGGAGGGAGGGAGTGGTTCTGTGTAGCTTCCCGTTTGATTGAAGGGCAGCTAGCCAGACTCGATAGCTGATTAAAGGCCTCTGTCCACATTGATGTTTCTGTGCAGAGGACATTAGCTAATAAATACAGAGGAGCCAGACAACAGTTAATGTGTTGCATTTACAAACACAAGAGACGCATGTTTCCACTGTACACACTCATCACCTGCTCAGTGTTGTATCATAAGCAGAGCAGAAAGAACAGTATGACCCTAAAGGATTTCCATATTCCCCAGCATGTATCCTCATCTGGTGATTTTTATTCTTTTTTTTTTTTTGCTTTGTTTTGTTTTTTTCTGGAACAGCGCTGAGGGTCTGACAGGCAAATGAGAGTCAAACACAGTGAGTCATCATCAGGCAGTAACAGCGAAAGGCTCTGTAATCGCATGGAAAAACACCCCATATGTTGGCTAAAAGCGGGCTGAGCGAGACCAAAGAGAAAGGATGGAAGGACTAACTCAACAAGCTTAATTGCCAAACAGACTTAAGTCATTGTTTCCAGTGTTGTTTCAACACATTGTATCTTCCTTCACGCACACACACACACAAACACACACACGTACCCCCTCCTTGACACCACTCAGGATGCTGTGTGGAATTTTTCCGCAGCAGGGAACATCAAGACACAGAGACAAACGTCTGTGTGGAGCTTGATCGCAGCCTTTAAGTCGGCTGAAGGCTAGATGGAATGAACAGTTAGAGCAGACAGGGAGGAAGGGACTATGATAAAGACTGAAGGTCATCTCCCCCCCCACTAGTAGACGTCATCGCCGATAGGCCCAATGACAATTAGAGGGGAAAGTTTGGAATCGGTATCTGTTTTTTGCTCTCTAAAAGCTGGCACAGTTTGCGCGAGGCTTTTCACGTGGATGTGTGTGTGTTCAGAACGTCTGACAGAGGCTACAGGATGGGGGGAGGGAGAGATTGTGTGTCTAGCTCTGCAATGCAGGGGCTGTGGGAGAATTATGGGCTGAGCAGCTACGTCACACACACACACACACACACACACAGACACAGGGCATGCTCCACAGAGACCCAGCAACACACTCCAACATGCTGGGATGACGCTTCTGTTGTCCATTTAAAAACACCCCTTCACGTAGCAGCCCACTGTCGCACCTTTTCTGTCTCTTTTCTTCTGTTTTTCCACATATCCTCACTTCTTAGTTGAGCTCTCCACTGCTTTTTGCTTTATTCTAATCAGAAATTCGCACTGCATCTCCCCGCATTGAAGCACCTCGTCTGTCGTTGCAGCTTTAAGAAAAACGCCTAGTTTAATCTCCTTTTCGACCCACTTTCATTGCACTATTTCTGTGTAACACTGCCACACTAAAACTTTCCACTTGCCTAACACATTTCACTCCCCCCCCCCTCCCTTCCCTTCTCTCTACTCCCTCCTCACCCCTTACCCCCCACTCTGTCTCTCTTTCCCCCAGAAGTGAGTGAGGCTACGGCCACCCTGGGGCCCGGCACCATGGGTCTGAGCACCCGCTACAGCCCCCAGTTCACCCTGCAGCACGTGCCCGACTACCGCCAAAACGTCTACATCCCCGGAAGCACGGCCACCCTCACCTCCAACCCGCAGCAGCAGCAGGCTACGGCCCAGCAGGCCGCCCAGCAGGCTCTGCCCCCGCCCCAGGCCTCAGCCCAGCCCGAGCCCCCGAAGGCCGCCCAGACCCCCGCTTCCAAGAAGAAGTCCACCAAGAAGGAGAAGAAGTAGATCCGGATGGAGACAGGTGAAAGGGTGATGAAGCCGGCCTGACGTGATGAAAATCCAAACCCCCCATCCCCCACCATTAGGTATCTCACTCCTCTGATGTCACTCATGATGGCCAAATATTGACATCAAGTCACTTTTTGCTCACATGGATGTTGTTGGCGATTCTTTTGAAGTGTCTTCAAAGATTCAGATGTGTTGAAGGCTGTTAGTGTCACTAACCTGTGCTGTGCTTAAAGGTCAAGTATTGTTCATGTAATCTTTGTTGGTAGATATTTTGGTGGGGTATGAGGGGTTACTGTTTTGTTTTCCTTTTAATTTTTCTTTAAAACAAAAAAAAAAAATCAACAAAAAAAAAAATCAAATGAACTTGGACAAAGAGATTCAGTGTAAGGAACCTTGCTGGGATGACAAGGCTATACACAGTGATGTATTCAGAGATGAAATGTTAATGTCTTTTCTTGTTGGATTTAATGTGCACTTTCCCTGAGGTGGGAAGTCAGCTATTGTAAAAGTATGCTAGTCACCATCCATTAGATTCCTCTATAGGATCAGCCTTGCGGGGGTCATAAAGCGTAAGACAGTTACTTGACAGGTGTTAAAAAACTCTTTTGCATGCTCATTAAAGTTAGAACCACATATAATAGTTTAGAGTTGCAAACTATGCATTGCAAAAGCAACGAGGAGTGAATCTTAAATCTACTCTCCTCCCTCCAATCGCAAGTCAACAGAATGCGCATGTAGCATTTACTTGACACAAAATTAAAATTACTTTTGTAAGCATAGTTTAAAAAAAAAAAAGATGAGAATTGAGTCCTCTGATATTTTTTACGATCCAAGCATGAATCCAGAGGATGGGCCGGCAGAGGGTTGGGGGGGGGGTCGCATGTTACTGTGTCCCGAGCCATACCGTCCACTGAGGTGGTTTCACAGCAGAGGTGGACAGACGTGCGTCGCCCCCTCCGTACCCCCCGCCATCCCCTCCTCACGCCCGGCTTGTGCCCTTCCCTCACCTGCTACCCTGTGATCAGAGCCAAACTAAGAGAAATGCACTGTTTGAAATTGAAGAAAAGACTAAGTTGGGGTTCTAATCACTTCGGCCTGTAAGGGAACGTGTAGATGTGGTAAACGTAAGTGCTTAGGACTTTCTAGACACTTTGTAAGCCTCTAGGGCCTTGATGGAGTTTTCCCTTTGACTTTTTCCCGAGGTGCTGAAATAAATTCTTGATGTGACACAATTAAGTTTTTTTTTTTGTTTGTTTGTTTGTTTTTTATTGGGATATAATGATTCAATAGCTTAGAGGAGTTGTTTGTATAAGATATGAAGTCTTTACGTTGCCGCCCATCTGTCTGCTGGACCCTTTGCCAGATAAAACCGCATGACAAAATGGCAGCTTTCAGGCTGGGTCGAGGGGGAGTGGAAGGGGTGCCGTGAGATGTAAACGGGCTGAGGTGGCACCGTTGTATCAGCCAGGGGGTGGGAAGCAACCTTGGCTCTACTCACTGAATGTACAGAGGAACCACCGTTGACCCCACCCCAGACACACACACACCCTCTAAACTCTCTCTGATGCACTGACCTATGAAGAGGTCAACAGAGCCAAGCACAGTTGTCCCTGTTGGTGAATAAAAACCACTCACACCCTTCAAATTTTCTCCTCTATTGGAATCAATGGGAAACCTTCCTAGCCCTCTCACCTCTCTGCATCCACTCCCCTGTTTTGTGAGGCTCTCCCCCGCTGTAAATAGACACAAGTCCTGTCGATGGTATTAGCCAGGTACTTGTCTAGCAGGGACTACATCCAACATTGGAAAAACAGAGGTCCCTCTCAGCAAGGCGTGGCTTACTACTGGAATGTGTTGCATTTTGTTTTTCAAGAAAATGAACAAAATCACAGTTTGAATTAAAAAAAAAACAAGTCAACATTGAGTAAAGATTTGACATGTTCCTCACCAGTTTGTGTTGCAATGTAGTAACCGAGCACCATGGAAGCCAACTAACTCTCATTGTAAATAACTGAAGTAAAGATAACTTTAGATAAGTAAACAAAAGTGACACACGTAGACTAGTTAACTTGTGGTATGTGTTGCGCATATTTTTGTGTTTATTTTCTCTCTACTATCTTTTATCACCCTGTAAAGAAACAAGACAAAAAAAAAATATTGAAACGTTTCTATCCTTCTGTAACCTCTTAATGTTCTTTTGCGGTGGTTTTATCTTGTGCATTTGTGAAAGAATGCCTCTCATTCTCTTTCTGTCCATATGAACAAATGATTATAAATATTATATATGTGTAAGTCCGTCTGCTGCTGAATTAATACTACTCTATCCTGCTGTATTATCTTTCTTATCAAATGCTTAGCCCCTCCCACGCTACACCCCTGTGTTACTCTCTTATTTTTATGCTAATATTTATATTGCTGTTTTATTTTCTCTTGAACACTGACATTTCAAATAAAACAAAATCATAAAAAATAAGGTCATGCGCTGTGTGTTTTAATCCTAACATGTTTACACAGGCTACAGCTTGAGTGTGTTAAAAATAATTAATCCCTGACAAACAATGACTAAAAGGTGCAGAATTCTTTGGGTAAAAACAATCTCTTATTCTCTTAACTTAAACTGAACCAGCTTTTGTAATCACTTATAAACTTCTAATCTGTCTGCCTCACTGGTTAGGGGGATAAACCATCTTGAAAAAGCACAACATAGAAAAACAAAACATTGGAACGCGTCAACTCATGGAGCACATGACAGTTGTTTCACCACATGATGAATGGAGCTCAATAATCAAGTCTTGGGTCTTGTCTGCTTTAAAGGGGGATCTTGGACTCGATCTCTGCAGTGAGAATGTATTACCATTAAAATGAAGACAAACAAAGAACAAAGAAAACTCTCATAGAAAACATTGGAAGGGCTTGCTTATGTTCTTTTGATGACATAGTTGGGTTACAATAAAGACAAAACTTCACCATAGATTTTTTTTTTTTTAAAACAGCAAGTAGACTAATATACAAAATCTAATTCTCTGACTCTTACCAGACCCACATGTTCTGTAATTTCTCTCATGAAGATTCCAGGTTCACCATAGAGATGATGGTAGCCTGCTCTGGCCCTTTGTGTCTTTCTTACAGAATAACACACGTCCCTATAAATAGCTTGTGGGACGTCGCTTATCAAAACAAAAGGAGCAGGCTTTAAGTCACTAGTGCAGATGTTGGGGGATGGAAGCAAGGGTGTAAGAAGAAGATGCAACTGTTGGTCAGGAAAGGCACCGCTTTTTTAAGTGTTTCTTTTGACCAAAGAAGCTTGCCTTCAATCTTTCCCTTTTGGGCTCAAACAAAAATGTCCCTAATTTGATCATTTAACACAGCTGAACCATAAACAAACCAGCCCAAAATGGCTGACGTTCCTCACCCTTTACTCCCTGAGTCAAACAGTTGCCACAGCAACAGTCAGTCCTCGGTCTGGATGCTTTTTCTTTCCTCTGTTTCATAACAAATCTATGAAGTGGCCACTATTGGCTGCTAATCAGGACCTGGCAGAGCCGAGCGAAAGGCGGGAAGGGAAAACATATTCAGTCATTTATCAAACCTGGCAACACAGAGAGACATATGCAGGAAGCATGGCAGAGCCGCGCGGAGATTCTCCAGCACAGAAACAAGCGGATGAGTCAGAGGTAATGAAGCACTGTGGGTTTGTCACAGTTTGGAGATCCACACCATGAGCGCCTATTTTAGGAGTGATCTAATTCAGTAAACAATGGAAGGAAACTAAAGTGTTATTCATTGTAGTGCATAATGTATCTACTATAAGTTCCCAAATAGCTTCACAGTTACCTCATCAGCTGGGGTTTATCATCCTTTGACTCACAGAGACTCCTGCTATCCCCAAGAGTCACCCTTTTCTACAAGAAGAGACCCAATAGAATTGGGAAATTGTTCTGGCATTGCCCCTTTTGCGCTCCCCTATCACTCACCCCATCTCGCTTAATTAAGCACATTCCTGCTGATTATACACACACAGTCAAAGCCAGGCATAAAACCCCTCAAACTGGGGATGTATAGCAGGGTATGACACAGAAAAAGACAGCAGCAGACTGGAAGAGGACAATGACCGCCTGTGTGTGATAATAACATTAGTCAGACAGGCAAGACACAAGACAGAACAGCAGGCATCATGACTTCCTGAAAGAGACGTGTACATGCAAACAGGCATGAGGAAGGCCACAGACACGCTCACACGTGTGGAGGGTCAAATTTCCTGAAAGACTTGCCAGTCAAATGTATTCAAATGATCTTGGATTTTCATTACAACGCTTGAGTAAGAGAAGCTTCCTCTCTTCTGCCTCAGCGTGTGAGCTGGGGGGAAAAGATCTAATTTCAAAGCAGGGAGGATCCGGTCAGTGTGTGGACAGAGAGGGCCGGATGTGACGTCACCGGGTGCTTGTGGCGGGACAGGAAGTACGTTTCCGCGCCTGTTTTTTAAGCTTCGGCAATGAATTGAAAATAAAAAAGTCCCCCTCCCACTTCCCCCTCCACTGGTTTCCTCTCTTCTTCCTTCCTCCTCATCCCCCCCCCCTTCCCCCACCCTGCAGCTGTCTCTGGGTCACCACATGTTGGAGGACAGAGCCCTGCTCTGTGGACATGTATGCTGAAAACACAGCCGAGAAAAATACCAGCTTAATCTGGATTTAAGCCGCACATCACTGCGGGATGAAACAAACACTGCTGTAGTTAGTCCAAGAGGGAGCTAACACTGAATTACACGTTTAATGAAAACTGCAAATGAAAGTTTCACAGGAAACTGGAAACTGACAGCAGTTAACGTTGTTCTCGTGCTGTGCTTGGTGAAAGAGGCTGTGTTCGTTGGACAGTGTACCTTGTAAAAGATTAACAGAGAGAAAGTGACAGAGATGAATGAAAACCACTGTTTCGGTTGGCACACTCAGCCAGCTCTGAAAACACACAATCTACACAACATCATATAACATTTACTGATTATTACTGGGCACTGAGATGGACTGGTGTACCCTGCCCCTCGCCCATTGAAAACTGGGTTAGGCTCTAGTACCCCCGTGACCCCATTTGGGAATAAGCGGTTCAGAAAATGGATGGATAGATGGATGATTATTACAGGATGAAAATACTAATTCTGGTCACTTCTAGTATATTCTTTCAAGTCCTCTCAAGTCTCAACACAAAATATTTAAGGAAGCTCTTGTGCAATTTCCAAAAAAAGGCCATTTTCAATTATTATTTCAGTTGATGGAATGGAATGTGCCAATGAGCTAGGTTGTACATTTTAGGAAATCATCAAGTTTCAGAAAGGTCTCTTTTTTCCTGATACCTGAGAACTTTTTTCTGAGACCCGAAGATGTCCTAAAATGTACACCGAAATGAGGCTGAATTAAAAGAGTCCAGAGTTTTTGGGTTAGAAAAGAAGAGGAGGCCATTGAGAAGGAGCAGCAGAGCACAGGAGCCCAAGCGTTGCTACGGCTAACGCTTTCCTGATTTAAAGAGACACAGTAATGTGCTGGCCGCTGGCTCGGCTGAATCACAGAGATGGAGCTGTAGCAGTGTGGAAGAAGCACACAATGCTCCCTTTCAAAGCTGCAAACTCTTTTTTCCCTCATCTGAAAAGCACCTCTCTACTCTTTCTCTCTTGCTCCCTCTCGCCTCATCTCCTTTGCCAAGAGCTCTTTGCGCCTGTTTTCTCAGCTGGGAGGATGGAACTCAGACAGGAGGGAGACAGGAATGAAGCTGGGACTGACAGGCGAGAGAGAGGGGAAGGGGGTGAACCTCCTTCATTGAAATGTAGCAAGAGAAGATGAGCATGGCATAAAGGAGGGAGTCAAAGTGTGCTCCGATCAGCGGCATCATTTTGCCACAATCAACAGAAAAGCTGTATTAATGCAATCCAACTTAAGGGTGTTTTCAAGAGATCAAAAGCCTCCATCTGGTACAAAGTGGTTTAAGGGCATTTGCATCTCCAACACACACACACGCGCACACACACACACACACACACACACACACATACACACACACATATACAATAAAAACAATATCCAAGCATAACCCCAATACCGCTTTCAAAGCTGTTCACCCCATAAGCAGCCCCCACACATATGCAGCTACCACACCCCCCAGCACAATGTGGAGTATCTAATCCACTGCTTCCACCACTGCGGTTGTCATGGTTACAGAAAATTCCAGCTTTCAGTGTCAAAAGAAGGAACTGGAATCAGAGAGGTAGATGAAAACTAACACATGTAGGGAAGCCACGAAGAAGACAGATTCCTCTCATATTTAATCAACGTATCCTTAAATATTTCTTATGGAGAAGTGTGCACTTGTGTGTGTGTGTGTGAGTGAGTCCAAATTCACTGAAGCACACACATGCCAAAGCACTAGCTGGGGAAGTGAGTGTGAATGAGGCTGTGTTCCCAAAGGTCGGACGCATGGTGAATGTCCAGTCCCCTGAACATGCAGACGCCTGACACACAGTCATGTCTGCAGCTCAGTGCCATGGTGACAGGTGTTGCCGTGGAAATGGTGCAGCTGCTACGTGGATATTTCAGGCTAATAAGCGTGAACCGTCAAGTAACCCTCCACCACCCCTCCCCTCGTCACCACTCTGAGCCCTGCCTGAAATCTGGAGGCATGGCTGCAAATGTACTGCTAACTTCACAGACAAACAAATAAAACATTAAAGGGAAAAAAATGTATCTGTTTCTGTCATAACGTGTTTTAGGGCGCTATGAGTGAAACTAGAGGTCTAAGGGTGACAAGTTTAGGAAATATGAGTGGCAAAAAACCTAAAACAAAAGGTGGCCCAGTGTGCACTTAAACATGCATGTCACCGGTTAGCTTTAACCAAACCAGTTTCCCATAATAGAGGAAAAGAGATTAAAATAACTCCCAAATTAAACAAATAAGAAGAAAGTCAGCTTGCACATTCATGTCAAGCAGCAGCCAAAATGTCAACTCTATAACAATTCCACAATTATCTGGAATGAGCAGAGTTTCAAACTCAGATCCATGAGAAAGGAAAAACTTCTCTGACCAGTCAGAGCAAGACGAACACACAATTAGCCTCCACACAAATGTGTGTAACAGGAAATGAGGAAGCTGCATATTTGTAAAACACTGGGGAATACAGAACTGAGCCTGAACACATGAAATCAACTAGGGGGACCATGAGAAATATCAGGAGGCAGACCTCATACTCTGTCAGCAGTGCTGTTTTGACAAAAGTGACTCTGCTGAATGGATAGACCGCTGGGACAGGTGTTAAAGCCATCAGCACTGGACTCCACAACACAGGGAATGCACTCCACAGCCACAGGAAATAATCCCAGACCTTTATACTGACTGTTGGACCAGAAACAAGATGTGCAGGGCAGGAGAAAAGATGCACACATTTCCTGATGACAGAGTGATTCTGGTGATTACTGTGCAAATGTCGGGTTTCGGGGGAA